TGATTAGAATATTTGCATAACTCTAACATAATATAAACGAATATTTATAACAATTTCACATAATAAATAAAAATAATTATTCAGAACAATATATCTCATCACTTACGTATCAACCATATTCTTCATATCAGGATATTTTGTTTGATCACCATCCAATAAATCCAGATAATACACTATTTCTTTTATCGGATTAATCGCAACCAACAACCAGTATCCACGGTAAAATAATACAAAAGTTTAGACGAAAATGTTATATAGAATGTCAAAAAATGAATAATTATAATAAATGAATTTAGAATGAAATCTAACCAATGGCCAGTATTATATGGCAAAAAATACAACTTCTCTGTATCTGTGGCCATAAATTCTTGGACTAAGCAATCTCTGAATATATCTGGAGTGTGATCGATTGCCGTGCATTGATACAACTAAAAGATAAGAATGCGAATCTCTCTGTCAATTGACGCGGGACCAACAACTTGTCATACAAGAACCTTAAATAAAAACATAATCAACATTAGAATATTCATTGAAATGAGCAAATAAATTGTTCAATTATTTAATTAAAATTGATCGGAGTACGTGATGTATGAATGCATAACACCGATGCCTAATTCAGAATGTTAGAAAATCTGATTCAAATTCTCTTTAGCAATTGTTCCGGCATAAGCAAAACTGAAAATACCTTCATTCATAGGTTTTTGACGAATGTCACCCTCCACCACATCTTTTGTTCTTACATATGTTTCAAGGCACAATCTAAATCGAAGAACAAATGCTTTTTTTGCCTCGACCTTTTTTTGTTGAACACTTTGATAGATTCAGACATCTTACTATTGATGACTTGTTGCAACTCTTGAGTATGAACCTAAAAGTCATATAAGTTAGGTAATTAATGTATAAGATCGTAAAACTATTGAAATCGGAGGATATAATTGACATTTTCTATGCATATATATATCAATTAATATAATAGTACCTGTTTTTTTTAACTGTTCTTTATTAGTAAACAGTTAAATCTAGTTGAAGCAAATTTTGTGAAAAGGTAATAATTTGTTATAGGATTAGTTTTGGTTGAAGTGAATAAACATTCAATGATTTATAATTTACATGTAGGACTGTATATGCAGGTGTGAACCGGAATATGAATTTATTGGAAAAATTGTTGAAGAGGTCTCTATAAAGATCAACAATATTCCTTTGCATGTTGCAAGCAAGCCAATTAGGTTGGAGTCTCAAATGTTAGAAGCTACATCTCTCCTTGGACTTGAATCTAATGAGAGAGTCAGCATGGTAGGCATTCATGGAATCGGCGGAATAGGCCAATCAACAACTGCTCGTGCTGTGCAAAACTTGATTGCTGATCAATTTGAAGGTGTCTGCTATCTTGCTGACATAAGAGAGAGGACAACTAATCATGATCTTGCATATTTCTTAAACACTCGGGGAAAAGGATATTTAAGTGGGAGATGTATACAAAGAAATTTCAATGATTAAAAGGAGGCTCCAAAGAAAGGAAATCCTTTTGATTCTTGACAATATTGACAAAGAGAAGCAGTTATAGGCTCCAAATGAAAAGTGAAGTGCAGTTTGAAATTTTTTTGTCTGTCAAATAAATCGTACCGTCCAAGAAATGCCACGTGGCCACTTTTGTGATATACAAAACACAATAGTGAAGAGCTCGGCACAGACATCCTCCCGTTCAGTCACCCCTCCTGCTGTCTTGTCTGCAGTGGTCGCTGGCCGCCGTAGCCTTGCCTCCGCTATGGGTATGAATGTGCATCTGCAGGACAACTTTCTTGTTCCTACTCTCACTAGCAAGTATCTCTTTTAATTTTTCTTTTCAAATGCAATTTATTTCTTGCAATGTTGCCATTTCATTTGTATGTTTTATTCTATTGGAATGATTGAAGTATTAGACTTTTTTTTTAATCATAATCACCGCCTTTTCAAACAAAATTATACAAGATGGCCACATGGCGATTTATTTTAAGCATTACATTAATCAAGTAGATTTAAAATTTATAAAGTTAGAGTGGCGTTCCCGCGCTAAAGTCGGACAATCTTGACCCTAAGTTGCCCCTATGAAGTTAAACTTCGAGGGAGGATGATTAGTTAAGGTACTTCCTGTTGAGTGTAAGGAAGAAGGTTCTATTCTTCTAATAGAAGTAGTGTCAGTGTCACTTTTCATTTGAACTCGTAAACTCTAGATTCTATTTTGTAAAACTACTACTTGAGGTGTAACTCATAGCATTATAGATGATTGTTCTCATAGTGTGGTACACGAAACTTGCATGAATGGTTATAAATAACTTTGCACCACTGTTCTTAAATTGCAGACTTCATGAGCATCAATGTTTAATGTGTAAGGTATCATATTGGAATGTTCAAACCTTTGTAACAGTTTGTAATGCACCACACCATGAGATTGTTTTCCTCATTTCTAGTGTTAGACGTGAAATTAGAGTTTCAATTGATTTTTAACTGATTTTACACTAGACTAACATTTCGAATAAATAATTTTTTTTTTTTTTTTCCATTTTGTAGAGATGAAGCATTTTTCTCCAGCATCATCCGCCAATTAGGAGCTGGCGCAAGCACAACACTAGAAGATGATGATAATGCAGTACCGGACCCTGAGTTTGCCTAATGTATGTGCATCAGTATTGGAGGTAGCAATCAATTTTGAAATTTATATTCTTAATTTATGGTTTCACTTTGTGGGCAAAACTAAATGTTCAAAGAAATTAACATAGTAGTTAAAACTCTTAAAAATCTGCTATATGATCTAACGAAGTGTATCTACTGACAGCACCTGAGTTTGTCTATGGTCAATTTTGGTATTTCTGTGGAATGGTTTAGAGAAGAAAGGGGTTAGGATTGCATATATTTAGAGCTATCTAAGATATTTGTGAAGAGTTATCACATAACACATTCAAGGATCTATCTCTAACCATTGTGGGACTTAGGATTTTTCCAACACACTCCCTCACTCCCAACTAGGCTCTGATACCATATTAGAGTTTGACCTAACTCATCTTTACAAAACCGACTTGTAGGGTGAGGATTACCCCCACTTATAAACACAAGACATGCCATATATTGTCCGATGTGGGACACTTAACACACCCCTCACGTCCAGAACTGGACATCTGGAGTGTTGGAGTGTAAAAATAAATGGTGGGTGGTTCGGTAGCGGAAACCTGATAGCAGGTGGGCGGTGGCCCATCGGATTACCGCCCATCGGATCTTAAACCGGCTCTGGTAGCATGTTAAGAAATGTGGTTGGGTTTAACTCAACTTTACAAAACCGGCGTTTAGGTTAGGGGTGTCACTCTATATAAACTCTTTCAAAGCTCTATCTCTAACCAATGTGGGACTTGGGATTTTCCCTACACACCCTATCACGCTCAACCCTATTTTGAGCTTGGTGCGTGGATTTAAACGGTGTGCGGCCCAAGGTCCAATCGATAAGCTCTGATACTATATTAGAGTTTGATCTAACTCATCCTTACAAAATCGACTTGTAGGATGAGGATTGCCCCCACTTATAAACATAACACATGCCATATCTTTAAGCAATGTGAGACTAAATCCACCCCTTCAAACCCAACACATTGAAGGTGTTGGGGGCTGCAATGAAGGCAAGACAAATGTCGCAATTAAGACAACTAGGGGCGGACCGCAATTAAGGTGGAAATTCCAACGGTAATACAAAACGATGGAGAAATATAAGAGGGTGTTGGGGGCTGCAATGAAGGCAAGACAAATGTCGCAATTAAGGCGACTAGGGGCGGACCGCAATTAAGGTGGAAATTCCAACAGTAATACAAAACGATGGAGAAATATAAGAGGATGTAAACCATTGAATTCAAGTGTAAATTTGTTCTGGTATTAATTCTTCATATACATAAATTCCTAATTGAATATCTTTTTCAATTAGATACTATTTAGTTTGAATCGAGTCGCTTTATGCTCTATTTGATTTAAAATAGGGTAGTGGATGGATTTTAGTAGAAGGAAGGTGAGAGGAAGTGGAAAGATTTTTCTAATTCTATTTATCTTTAATTCAAAAGAGAGGAGAGGATGGAAATGATGAGATTTTAATTAAAAATATGTTTTGGTCGGGTTTTGCTCCCCTCCCCTTCTAAAATTATATATATATATATATATATATATATATATATATATATATATATATATATATATATATATATATATATATATATATATATATATATATATATATATATATATATATATATATATATATATATATATATATATATATATATATATATATATTTAAAGATATTCTCTTCCCCTCCCCTCCCTTCCATCTACTCGAACCAAAAACAAACTCTTATAGTGCATTTGTTTATTTATTTATAATATATCTATTAATTATTCAATTTTTAGGTCAGCACTCTTAAAAATTAGTAATTGTGTTTCCACCTAAAGTGTTTTACATTGAAATCTAACAACTCTTGCCTTGAAAGTCAATATGTGAGAATGAAACGGTTTCATACGTTTAGAATGACTAGTGTTTTATTTAATTAAATGTTGAATTAAGTGGTTGGTGAATTACTTAAGAAAAGTAGTCCCAAAGAAGTTGTGTTATCAAATATCTGCTATATGCTATTAGGGTCTCTTTTTATATATTTGAATTTTGAGTGTAATTAGATACTAAAATAAAATAAATATTATCTTACAAATACTATAAGGGAGCAACTACAAGGACAGTTGAGTTTAATATATTCTTAGATCAAGATAATTTGATTTAAAAACATTAGGTAGGAGACTAAGTGTGAATTGCCAAGTCAATGTGTAGCCAACATCAAGGAAGCAAGGAACTGTTACATCTAGAGCTCCTTTGTCTTGTTCATATTAGACTTTTCTTTTCTAATTTAAATATAGAGGCTCTGAGAAAAGGAAACACTTGAGAGATTAGAAAGAAATCTAGGAGAACAAAAAGTGAAGTTAATTCTGCATTCCTAATCATGGTACTTTCTTCTTGTGATTGGACTTATGATGTTTTTCTAAGCTTCAGAGGCACTGATACCCGAAACAACTTTACTGGTAATCTCTACAGTTCTCTCCATCAAAGAGGTATAAACACTTTCTTTGATGAGGAAGAAATTCAAAAAGGAGATGAACTCACACCTACTCTTCTCCAAGCCATTGAACATTCGAGAATTTTCATTGCTGTTTTCTCCAATGACTATGCATCTTCAACTTTCTGTTTGACAGAGCTTGTCACCATTCTTGAGTGCGCCAACTCACAAGGAAGGTTATTTTTTCCTATTTTTTATGATGTGAATCCTTCCCATATTCGACACCTAACTGGAACTTATGGTGAAGCTTTCAAAAAACATAGAAAGAGGTTTAAAAAGGACAAGGATAAGGTGCAGAAATGGAGGGATGCTTTGCAACATGCTGCTAATGTTTCCGGATGCCATTTCAAACCAGGGTGAGTCATTGCACTACCTTCTTTTTGTGTTTTGTTTCTATCACAGGGAAAATTTTCACACACCTGTTTCTCATGCTATTTTATTTCTTCATCCACGAAATCTTGAACAAGATCTTTAGTAGTAAACATATAAATCTAGTTGAAGGAAATATTTTGAACAAGTCATAATTTGTTCTTTTATTAGTTTTGGTTGAAGTACACTCAATGATTCGGTTTCAATTATGCAGGTCTGAATCAGAATATAAGTTTATTGGAAAGATAGTTGATGAGATCTCTATTAAAATCAACCGTGTTCCTTTGCATGTTGCAAACAACCCTATTGGGTTGGAGTCTCGAGAGTTAGAAGTAATATCTCTCCTTGGATTTGAGTCTGGTGATAGAGTCAACATGGTAGGCATTTATGGAATTGGCGGAATAGGAAAATCAACACTTGCTCGTGCTGTGCATAACTTGATTGCTAATCAATTTGAAAGTGTGTGTTTTCTTGCTGACATAAGACAGAGGGAAGCTCGTGACGGTCTTGTGCACCTCCAAGAAACACTACTTTCTGAAATACTTGGGGAGAAAGATATGAAAGTGGGAGATATTAATAAAGGAATTTCAATAATTAAAAGGAGGCTTCAAAAAAAGAAAGTACTTTTGATTCTTGATAATGTTGAAAAGGTGCAACAGTTGCAGGCACTTGTAGGAGGAGATGATTGGTTTGGCTCTGGCAGTAAAGTTATAATCACTACCAGAGACAAGAATTTGTTGACCACTCATGGGAATGTGAAACTATATGAGGTTAAACAACTAACAAATGATAAGGCTCTCGATCTGTTTAGTTGTCATGCATTTAAAAATCATGAAAATAATCTAGATTATGTGGATATTGCAAAACGTGCAGTATCTTATTGTCATGGTCTTCCGTTGGCTTTGGAGGTGATAGGCTCTCAGTTGTGTGGAAAAAGTTTATCTGTATGGAAATCCTCGTTAGATGTATATGAAAGAGTCATTCATAAAGACATCCATGCCATTCTTAAAGTTAGCTATGATAATTTGGAAGAAGATGTAAAGGGTATGTTTTTAGACATAGCCTGTTTCTTTAATTCTTATGAAATAGGCTATGTCAAAGAAATATTATACTTACATGGTTTTCATGCGGAACATGGCATAAAAGAGCTTACTGACAAATCTCTCATGAAAATTGATACTAATGGTTGTGTGAGAATGCATGACTTGATTCAAGACATGGGCAGAGAAATTGTGAGGCAGGAATCAACGTTGGAGCCTGGAAGGCGCAGTAGATTATGGTTTAGCGATGACATTCTTCATGTTTTGGAAGAAAACAAGGTATGCCTTATATTTTGATTAATATATACTACTAATTATGATTTAGAAATTTGTGTTTACAACCATAACAATCTTAAATTTTTGTTTGAATTGTGATTTGGAATTGAAAGGGAACTGATTCAATAGAAGTCATAATTGCTGACTTGCGCAAAGTCAGAAAAGTGAAATGGTGTGGAAAAGCCTTCGGACAAATGAAGAACTTGAGAATTCTTATAATTAGAAATGGACGGTTTTCCCAAGGTCCTCAAATTCTTCCAAATAGTTTGAAAGTGCTTGATTGGAGTGGATATCAATCCTCCTCTTTACCTTCTGATTTCAATCCGAAGAATCTTGCAATACTCAACCTGCCTGAAAGCTGCCTTAAACAGTTTGAGTCATTCAAGGTATGTATTCTTTTCCAAAAAATATATATGTTGTACATGTTCTGTTTGGTTTATTTGAAGTTTTGAGGCTTCTATTTTTCTGTAGGCGTTTGAGATGTTGAACTTTCTTGATTTTGAAGGCTGCAATTTCCTAACCGAAATACCTAGCTTATCTAGAGTACCGAATTTGGGGGCGCTGTGTGTCGATAACTGCACTAATTTAAATAGAATCCACGAATCTGTTGGGTTTCTTGACAGGCTTGTGTTATTAAGTGCTCAAGGATGCAACCAACTAGAAAATTTGGTTCCCAAAATCAACTTGCCATCTCTGGAGACTTTAGATTTAAGGGGTTGCTCGCGTCTCGAGAGCTTCCCTGAGGTAGTTGGAGTTATGGAGAATATAAAAGATGTTTATTTAGACCAGACTGCCATAAAACAATTGCCGTTTACATTTGGAAATCTGGTTGGACTCCAACGTTTGTTCTTGAGGGGATGCCAAAGGATGATCCAACTACCAAGCTATAGATTTCCCAAATGTGAGATAGTTACAACTTATGGTTGTAGAGGATTTCGATCATTCGACAATGAAGAAAAAGTGCGCCCAAAAGTGTTTGAAGATACCATGTTTGTTTATTCTGAACATGGATGGTCCTACCTTAATATGTATTCTCGCTATACCACCTCCAATGATGTCATTGAAGTATGTAGTCCTCTGCATAATTCAGAAGTCACTAAATTTCAGTTTTTCGATGCAAGCAAAAATGTTGAGGTTAAAAAGAACAAATCATCTGTGTGCTTTTGGTTCCGAAATAAATTCCCCAGGATAGTTCTAGTGTGTGATGTAGAATCTGAAAAGCATTTGGACAACATGGCGTTGAATTTCGAGTTGAATGTACTCATCAATGGCACTAATCAACTTGCTTCCTCATGTGAATACATATTTTATCCAGAAAAAAAGACAGTACATACTCTTCATTGTCAGGTACAATGCAAAGTGGAGGGCGTATTTTCAAAGAATGAGTGGAATCAAGTGGATATTTTATGTGAGATAAAACATCTCATGCCTTGTGATTTTGAAGGGGTGATGGCCTATCAGGACCGGACCTCTAAGAGGATTGTGAAGTGGTATGTCATCAGTGTCATGATAGAAAACAAAAGGGATGATTAGAGTTTAATTGACAATCCTAATTCTCCCAAAGAGAAAATTCAAGCAAACCAAGAATCAGGATTATGTGGATATTGCAAAGGGTTACTCTATGCGGTCAACTATGAATACTATCAACATGATTAAATGAACATGTTGCTAGATTTTTGCTAGAACAATATGGTGGGAAACCTTCATTGATGATACACATGTTATAAAGGATCTCCTGTTTAATATCTTTAGGGAGAGTCTTAAATAAAAAGTTACTATAAGTGAATTTCATATGTTTAGGTTTAGGATCTCATGTTTATGTTTGTTGTTGTTTGTAATTCTAATTGTACTAAATTATTTAATAAATTTTTTAATTCTACTTATAATAGTATATTTTATTAAAACAAATATTCTTAAATCAAAGAAATAATTCATTATATTTTTATTTTATTAAAACAAATATTCTTATAATATATATATATTAGAAATAGCAATTATTTAATAAATTTTTTAATTGTACTTATAATAGTATATTTTATTAAAACAAATATTCTTAAATCAAAGAAATAATTCATTACATTTTTATTTTTTTAAGTTTCAAGCTCTTTCCATAACCATATGTTTAATAATCTATGAAATTGAAAATTTTGAGTTTTTGTTAGGCATGAGATATTGTTTGCAACAAATTAAATTAGTAAAATTTTCAATCTAAAATATGCATATTAATGTTGCTATAAAACAAATGAAAGGTCTACTTATATTTTTTGAAAATTATAGAGAACATGTGTATGTAATTTATAATAATAATAATAACATTTTTATTAAATTATAAAATAAAATAAAATACTTATAATAATAATAATAATAACAACAATTATTATTATAACATAAATTTTTATAAACTTTAAAATAACTCTTGACAACACAACTTTCGTGCCGTCAAAAACTATAATTCAACTCATCGATAATATCAAAATCATAATGATCAATTATTCAAATCGATTGATCAAAATGTCATTGTTTCACCATACAAATGTCAGATTCCGAAGTAAAAGAACATTGATCAATCACATAAAATAAAATCATCACAGAAATCGAATCGATGAAATATAAGGCATATCAAATATATCGTCATTGCATCCAAATTATTCATATCTTATATGAAATTGATCAATCACTTTTGTGTAACTTATGAATTATCGATGTATCGCTGCTTCACCATACAAAAGTCAGATTCCGAAGCATCATCCAAATCATACACAACATGATGCCAAAAATTAATTTTCTTTATTATTTAATTTATTATGTATTTTAATCGAATTAAATCAGAAAGTACAGAAAATAAACATCTACCAGATTCATGGTTTCGTAAGTGGCTCTAATACCACTGAAGAGAAATCGTGATCCAAAACGCAGCAAAAATTAAAATTTTCTCTTTAGTGATCCTTACAAATAAGCATGATCAGTGATAGAAACAATTGTCTCTTGCGAAAATTAACAAATTTGATATTATGTAAAAAATAATTTTTCTAAACAATCATTAGAAAATATGATTTTAATAAATAACTTTTAAAAAAATGATATATCTCAAAAATAACTTTTTATGAAACTTTATTAAAAATAACTTCAAATCTAATTGATATTTTAAAATCTCAAAAAATTATAATAAAGTAGTTAATAATATTAAAAAATTTAACTTTACTTTGATTATAAAATTTGTAGAAATATTGTGAGAATTTTTTTTTTGAAAGAAAATGACTTATTTTGTTGACTTTTTCAAATAAAACCCAATATTTGATTAAGAAGTCATATGGGCTAAAAGGCCCAAAAGTCTGGACAATACCGTAAATCACCACAAATTAGGGTTTTGGTGTTGTAGCTTCTGTACTATAGCCTTACTTACCTATTTAACCCTTTCTTCTCTCTCTGTCATCCCTTTTTCATTCATTTCTCAGCCTTTAACATTCCTTCACAATTCTCTCTCTTTCAAACCTTCCCAGCATCTGGTATTCATTAACAATTCTCTCTCTTTCAAACCTTCCCAGTCTCTTGTATTCATTCACAATCTTAGCCTGTTTCTTCAATTTTTTTTAAATTTCGTTTGAGTTGTTTTTTATTTGATATGTTAACGATTCTAGAGTTTTAGTTTCTTCATAGTGAAATTGCGTTTTTTAGAGTTGCTGATTCAATTCATTTTTTAAAATTTATTTGTATTCTCTAGGATATAATTTGATTCAACTGGTATCAATTCAAACGTATTTATTTATGATTGTTATCTGGCATTGATTAGGTCGACTGATGTTTTAAATATGTTATTGTCTCAAAATGGGAAAATGGGTGAGGGTGCGGTTTAAAACCGGTTCAAAATATTATTTTTCTTTGCAGTATTTGTAAAAGTATTTAAAACAATAATAAATTCGTTCCTGCCTATAACAATAATATTTTCTCTTCTATATAAAAATATTTTAATCAACGATATATATATTTTTCTGTATATAAATATTAATTTTGTTTTGAATCAATAGTAAAGTTGTTTCGTTTGAATTTAAATATTATTTTGGTTTTGATACTATTTATAAAAATGATTATCTACCCATTCAAATTCTTATTTTTAGAACAACACCTTTGTAAAGGTGTATGAGTTCTCTCATATTTAAATGTTCAAGTCTCCCCATCTCTATCCAATGTGAGACTATTATCCATACTACTTATATTTATTATACTCAACACTTTCCTTCAAGTATGATTTTATCCACAATGTTCCCCCTTAATCGAAAGCTCTTTTCATCCACATATACTTGTACCGCCGTTGACACTCTTCAACGGGACACTTCGAAGCATACTCAACACTTTCCTTCAAATATGATTTTATCCACAATGTTCCCCTTAATCGAAAGCTCTTTTCACCCACATATATTTGTACCACCGTTGACACTTTTCAACGGGACACTTTGGATTACTTTCGATACAAGTGAGTCCTTCACTCAAACCAAATGCTTTGATACCACTCTGATGGAAAATTAAGACATAATAATAGATCAATATGCAGCGGATATAAAACTCCAAAAACTTGAAACATATCTCAATAAAGTCTATGATTCGTTCGAAGAACGTCTTGAGATTCAGGCCATTGCCGATGATATAACTAGTAAATATGTCCCTCCTCATGTAAATATATTTTATTGTTTAGGAGGAATTACACTTACTTGTTTTTTAGTCCAAGTAGCGACGAGTTTTGCTATGACTTTTGCTATGACTTTTTATTATCGTCCAACCGTTACAGAGGCTTTTGCTTCTGTTCAATATATAATGAATGAGGCTAACTTTGGTTGGTTAATCCGATCCGTTCATTGATGGTCAGCAAGTATGATGGTATTAATGATGATCTTGCACGTATTTCGCTAACTTTGGTTGGTTAATCCTATCAGTTCATCGATGGTCAGCAAGTATGATGGTATTAATGATGATCTTGCACGTATTTTGCGTGTATCTCACTGGTGGTTTTAAAAAACCTCGCGAATTGACTTGGGTTACGGAGACGAAATTGTTAGAGCCGATGTTCCTTTTCGAAATTGACTTGGGTGAAATTTTTGAATTAGATCGTGCTACTTTAAAATTGGATGGTGTTTTTCGTAGCAGTCCAAGGGGTTGGTTTACTTTTGGACATGCTTCGTTTGCTCTGCTCTTCTTTTTGGACGAAACACCATTCCCATGCGAAGACTTTGTTGACATTCGTAAACGTTGGGTGTATATGTTCAATGTGTTTAAAGGTCCTCAAACTATATATATATATATATATATATATATATATATGGGCATATCAAGTGAGAGAAATTTAAGTGAGAGGTGAGAGGAACAAACAACAATCATTAGATCATGATTAAACTTATTCATTAATGTGACTATTAATTTCTCTCTCTTATTAATTTACATTTCATCTTTCTTATTAATTTTGATCTAATGGTTGTTGTTTGTTCCTCTCACCTCTCATTTAAAATCCCTCTCATTTGTTTCTCATTTAAAATCACCTCTCAACCAAATGTGTATATGTATAGACACACACATATACACATTTGAGTTTGAGTGTTGTAAATAGAATTTTTGATTTAATGAAAGAAATAAGTATTTGAGTTTGGGTGTTTTAATATACATCTTCAATTGATATTGTTCTGTTACAGTTTAAACAATACAAGTTATAAAATGGAACATGTATAATGCAGAAATATATCTTCAGTTGCTGTTTATATTTTCAATTGATGTTGTTGTTTAAACAATACAGATTAAAAATTTTCAAATTTTCAAAATGTAGAAATATATTTTATAAAAAAACATATAATTTAACGACTGTTTTTAATTATGACAATAATATTATAATAATCATTATTATAATAAACATATTTTATTATTATTATATTATAATAACTATTATTACAATAATAATAATATTAACTCTTATTATTATATTATACTATGTTCCATATTTCACTTGAGTACATCGTAACTTACGGTATTCCATAATTCTCTCAAGTACACTGTACCTTACAATGTTCCTTATTTATTCTACCTCTCATCAATTTGTCCTTATGTGTGTGACCCTGTAGGTTCTCGTGACGTTGACAATTATATTAAATCATACATTTAATATAATAAATAGTGAGCGTATCTAGCAACACATCATTATCACCCAAGTCACGAAAATGTCATGTGATCTAGCAAAACCTTTTGTGATAGTACTTGTGTGTAAAATTATCCTTTTGCCCTTATGTTTATATCGAACACAAGGCATATAACGTGTCATTCTTGTCTATATGCGAACTATTTTCGCTTCTGCTCGCTTACTCTCGCTTCAAGCGAAGTTCTGCTGATTTGGTTATGTTTCTTTATGTTGTTGCTCGCTTCAACTTTGCATCGCGACCTTCGCTATGCGAAGGAAAGTTCGCTATGAGAAAGTTGCAGGGCATGAATTCTTCTTGCTTGTACCTGATGTGTTCTTTTGTTAATCCCTGCAAAACCATAACCATTCAAGAGTAACA